TTTTGATATAACGGCCATTTCTTCCTCCACAAGCACAGTTTGTCTCACCATCCTGTGTTTTTGCCGTATGGGCGTAAATTGGGTGAAGCGAGGTAGCTGTCAGCCATGCTATTGTCGCGCTGTGATCCGTGTACAGTGTGTTCAAATACAGTAAGAGCTCACAGGTTTGAGATCTGCTTAAAATTGGCGATTTAAAAATGACATTTTAGGAGTAATAGTGCCTCTATAGCTATATTTAATGCTTTGTTTGTGATTAAGGTGGGAATGACAGCCAGGTGTTTATTTATTATGTTTTTTTTATGATACATTGCATATTAGAAGGCAGTAGCCCTTAATACATCAGCAGCTGTAAAGGGAAACAACCCAAAATGATCATATTTATCCAATTAGTTGTGAGAGACTTAAAGTTAAACTGATGTGAATGTCATATTGCAGCATCCTTTTTGACCCCCACACAAACAGCATAATGCACACAATGTGTCATTGACAGGGTAAAGACAGATGCAAATTAATTAAAAAAGAGGAATTACTGTGTGAAAGTTATAGGACATGATCTTAATAAAAAAGTGTGCGTCCTATGTATTGGCATGTCTGATGTCTCATCACTGTTGGTGACTAATCACCGATAACTCATCACATCGGTCTTATGATAAGGTCAGTCATCGGTAATAACTCCACTCAGTAGAAGGAGGTTTTTTGAAGTTTTGGTGGTAAACCGAATCATTTTTGCTTAATGTGTTTGGTGAAAAGACACCAATACGGCTGATGTCTAGTGTGAATTGTGCATTAAATCACTGCCGTGCCCTGTTAACCCACACCGGTCGTGAATTTCTCTGCAGTGTCCTCGTGAGGAATCGGAGTTAAGAGAAGTGAAGTGACAGCCGGCAGGTAGCTGGATCAGGATGGCGGCCGTAGTGAACTACTCCCCGCCTTGGTGGGTGAACCTGCTTCACCGGTTGCCCCATTTCAACTTGGAGTTCCAGGTTGTGAGCAGTGACTTTCGACCGGAGGATTCAGAGTACCAGAAGGTAAGACAAGTACGGGGGAATAATTGCCTCCCACTCAGAATTCATCATCCCCTCCATCATGCAGCATCACCTTATCATCCCACCTCCTGCCACCTGCCCACGCTGTAATTTCACAGCGGAGTGGCCAAGTGGTGACTGAGGCTGTCCTGTAACTAGAGTTGTGGATTCCCTCCCTGCGTCGATCAATGCTGTGAGTGTGTGTGTGTGTG